GCCCTATTCGCCCAATACACCTGAAGGTGCTGAAAAGGGGTCTTTTGTAGGGATTAGAATGGTGGATAATGATGATGATTGGTCTCTGATACTATCATGATTGCACGATCTGGGAGTGAGGTCTGGTGAAACGAAACACACAGTTGCCATCTTCAATGTCATAGTAGAAGACAGAAACCAAATTCTCGTGAGAACAATCACCTTGGGATGACTTCTGCGTCTCAGGACTGAGCAAACATGGGAAAACATAATGTGCAGTGACACTGACTGTGATAACATAACCGACATTGACCCTTTATTACAATACAAAATAAAAAGCAAATACACACGCACACACACAAAATTCATGTTTTTATTTACATTAATTAAAATATGAATTTAATATTGTATATGTTTGCTGTAAATTAAATTATTTACAGAAATATATTGTAAAGGCACAAAACTTGTAAATTGCAAATAAAACAAGGAGAGGGATTGCAAAGACAGATAAAAATTGGTAACAAACTAGAATGCAGACATAGTAAACCTAGGTATGACAAGAATATCTTCTTCCTAGTTTGCCCTACAAAAGGTGTAGACCATCATTGCTGTGGTTTACAGCTAGGCTGCGATATCTGCACCTTTCGGCCAAACACATCTGATTTTCAGCAAGTTCTTTATTAATCAGTTTAACATGCTTGTTAAAAGCGTCTGTGGCTTAGGTGGCTTCCTAATGCTGGGGTGCTGGGTTCGATCCCAGCTGTGGACGATTTGTCTTGCGTTTGTTTCAACAGTGGTACCAAGAGCTGACCGCTCAGGAAGCAATGGCAAACTAGTTAACGTAAAATTTGCCTAGAAAAACCATAACAACCAACAAATGCTGGGGTTGGTTCTGCAACGTCCTGTAAAGGATAAGCAAATAACTTTTTTTGTTAAGAGGCAGTGTGTATATACCACACCCTTCCCCCCAATGGGGCCCTGGAACCCACATTGAGAACAGGGACGTCTGCGAAATGACAACTGCAGTAACACACTTGGAGAAAAAAAGGGCCATCTAGTCTATCAGAAGTGAACAGAATCTGGCCAGAGAAGACCACCACTTACTTGACTGGCATGGGCAGGTCATTATTCTATCCTCAGGACAGGACATAACAAACTTAACCAGCATATGCACATGCTTCATCTAAGTAGTTCACCTTTGTGCCCATGTGGGTTGTGTGTGCAGACTACAGAACATCCTTTGTACAGCCCATTAAAAAGGGAATGCTGGCCCAATGAGCCAACATCAAACTCAAATTTGTATAGAACTTAAAGGAAATTCTGCTCACAAATAAGTCTCCCAATGTGGGTTCTGGGGAACTGTTATAGGGAAAACAAGAATAGATGCCCTGCCTACCCAAAAGCCTGTCGTAAGAGTCAACTAATTGGGAGCTTCCTTCGAAGCCGGAGTGCATCTGCCCGAGAGGCAAGGAACCAACAGTGCATTAAAATTAGTTATATCTATCAAACGAATACACAAGCAACACTCAAGTTCTGAAACAGGACTGCAGTCCAGAAGTGGACGAACAACCAGAACTTTCCGCCAGAGTTTACAGCTGGTGAACGCGAAAAAGAAGAAGATAAATAAGTCATATATGTAAAAATAGATATGCCCGCAAAACTCAAGTTCTGGAGCAAGACCAAAGTTCAGGGGTGGACAAACAACCAGAACTTTCCCACTGGAGTTTACAGCCATTAAACACAAATAAAAAATAAAATACAAAAATCGACTCTCAGTGTAAATCAGACAGTGATCACCAGAAGAAGAGGAGAAGAATAAGAAGAAAGAAATGGCAATGAAGTCATGGTAACATCAAATAACAGAAACAAAGTGACAGACCTATTGTCAAAACAGTCCATCAGGCATACGTAAGGTTACAGATTCATATTTTTACAGACCATTCATTAAATGAGGAGTCATGAAGTCAACAACAGGCCGGTCGCCATTATCTTACCAAATATTTCCTGGTGCCCTATATAACCTTGTCAATCAAGAAAGCCGGTTTTCCGACATTTATTGATTGCAACTGCAGTGTAGAGGTGGTGGGTATGATCATATTTTTAGTAAAAATTTCTAATTTTAAATATTATCTAGCGCTTAAAAAAAAATATATATATATATATTTGTGGTATATCAGGTTTAGTATATATATTCAGCATTAACAAAAGAAATGTAGTGCCGGCTATGGGTTGCTAAAATCTGACAAAACAGATATAAATTAGAGGTTATGTGAATATGTGGCTTCAGGTCAACCAGATAACCACATGCCCCATTCACAAAATACTATTTTTTTTATATATCTCTCTAATATATATTTTGTTTTATGGGGCAAACCTGGTTATGCTGGGTTGACCTGAAGCCACATATTCACATACTGTTTTTTTTCATCTCTCTAATTTATATCTGTTTTGTCAGATATCGTTAGGCAACAGTACACCAGTAGCCGGCACTACATTTCTTTTGTTAATGCTGAATATTGGGCGGCGTATACTAAACCTGATATACCACACAGGTGGGATCCCAAAACATCTAGAAATGGCCCTAACCCCAACCCACTTGCGTCCCAAGAGAGAGTGCAGCCTAGGTCCCATGAATGCATGCAGCCTATCTACCACCCCCTGAAATATTAGACTGTCCCGTGACCTGTGGATTTCCCTGTTTGGGGTAGGATATTAATAAAGCCCCATAAAGTGAAAAGGACCTGGTAAAATAATAATGGACAAACAGACAAACTGGTGTGTGCTAGAAGGACCAATAAGGAAGGCAAAGAATAGAAACACTATAAACTACCATGCATCATCACTATCCTGTTGTGCCATATGTCACTTAGGGCTCACTGCCTCTACCTCTATTCTGATTCTTCCTGTGCAGTCTTTGTAATATCATGGATTGAATTAATTCCAGCACTCTCAACTTTTTTCATTGATGTTCGTATAAGGGTTTTCTTTTGAACTATTCTGAATCATTTTATTCCACATTTTAGTGCTTGTCTGGTGATTCTCTACTCATTTCTTCTCAAAATGTGTCCAATAAAGTGTGATCTTCTCTGTCGTGTTACTTCTGTTACCAATGGTTGCCCATACATTTCTCTTATTTGTTCAACCCTCTTGAATTCATCCCTTTTTATGTTCAACATTTCCCTTAGGATGTATCCACTGCAATAAGACAAATGAGGTAAGATATATTGGGCACACTCTGAGACCAAATCAGCAAAGAATGATAAAACAAGCACTGAAATGGGAAACTAACAATCTGAGAGTAAAAGAGAACATCCAAGGGAAGTATTAAGAAGAAGATTATTACCAGAGGCACAAAATACTGGGCTGAACTCCATGTCCGAAACTGAGACAGCTGCATGCAATAAAAGTGGAGTGGAAGATCTAATGTTAGCCCTACCTGATGTCTAACGGCCCACAAAAGATGATGATAATGATTCTTCTCAGGCATTTATTTTCAAATGCTTTCAACTTTTGTTCTGTCCACTTTTTTTTTAACGTATCCAGAAACCATGAGTTGTAAACCCTTTGGCTCGGTACTATGGATATCGCAACCCTTCGGCCTTGATTCCATTATAGGTACCGTTAATCTGGGAGAAATGTGGCTTTTCTGCCTACCCCCGGGAGTGAACCCGGACCACAAGGAGTTCGTCACCCGGCCGCCGCGAAAGTCCGGTTTAACCAACTTCTCTAGAGAGCCGGGCTTTTTCTGTCCACTAAAACTTAAATAACATTAGAAATGAAAATACATAACTTGCTTTTAAAACTATACAATTCAGATTTCCAAATTTTGTTCAGGCTTTTAAAAGCTGCTGTGCCTTGCCAATGCATGCCATTTCTGTCTTTGTATTTCCTTTTCTCAGAGATTTGTTTGAAATGAATTTAACTTTTGCTCCATGTCTTTAGTAGTCCTAGACTACCAAGCACGCAGTCAATGGATAATAAGGAGGGCTGGAACAAGACTGGCAACCTCCTCTTGTAGAAACCATTAGCTGTAATATTCAAAAGTCTTGGAATAAACTAGTCGGGGGCTTATGCTCCACCAGAAGCTGTAATTAAGGAAAATACTAAATATTCTATTCCTACTGTAACAGCTGAACAGCGCATAAATGACTTTGAATACAAATGTTATAGACATGTTCCTAAGAATATCATGGGTAAAGAAAAGAACAAATGCATTCATACTTCAAGAACTTAATACTGAAGAAGGTTGGCTATTAAAGACGATAAAACACAGAAAACTGAAATATTATGATCACTTGAAACGTCACGAGAACAATAATGTAGGGGTATATGCCTGGGAAGAGAGGAAGAAGGCCAAAGTCAAGGTCGGTGCAGGATGTGGCAGATGATCTCCAGATGGGTGTATCAGACGCTGGATATCTTACTTGTGATCGACAAGTTTTCCGGAGGGTTGTTATGGGAGCAAGCTTCTGCAAAGGGTGCGGCATCCGTGGCTAAGGCGTTGCGAGTCCGACTCGTGAGCCAGCATACCGCGATCGAAACCAACTGCAGGCTGCGTGGATTTTTGTCGTGGTATGGGACGTCGCACGTCGACCCAGCCTAAAATGGGTACCAGGATGGGCTGTCCTGGGAAAGTAAAGACAGCCGGCGTAATGCTGACCACATTACCCACAGAGTGCTGATGGTCTGTAAAAATATGGGACGTTCTGCCCATATGCCCAATGCGCCGAAAGGCGTGAAAAGGGATCTTCTGCAAAGGACATGCTATTGACTGATTGGCTGTAACAACTAATATAAAGAAACGAATGATTCTATATCAACGGCAACATTGATGTGGAGAATATGTTAAATTATTCAATTTCTATTAATTTTTTTCAACTCATATCACAAAATGGCTAACCAATGACTCAATACAACAGCTTAATCTTTAATTAATGACCAGAAAATGGCAAAAATGTACATTTCTGTGACATAAAACAAGAAAGTACGAAAAAAAAAACAAATCAACAAAATATAATATACTATTGTCGATTCTGTCGTGTGACATCTTGAAACTCCACATTGTGTCTTTTCTTGAGTATTCTGAACAGATCTTTGGGGATTTCTAGATCTTCAACTTGATCAGGTCCAACCAGTAACCGGATCTTCTTGATGCAAAGTTTCAGCAATGACAGTACTGCAAAATATAACAGGAAACAAAGTGCATCATCATCATGTAGCAGGTCCTTTGCAGTTGGTAAAAGGTAAAGTCGGGAGATGTGAACCAGCATCATTGCACAAGGTTATAAACCATAAGTGCTCTGCCACCAGTATGGACAGCTGATAAGAAACTGTCTGCCTGTGTCGTCGTCCGCACGTAACTCCGTAGCTACAGCGATGTTCCTCCATTTACCCCAGACTGTTAACTCTGGTACCCATTACCTAGAGGCTGGGTGAATCCCAGGAACCGCCCGGTTTCGAACACCGGCTGTGAGCTGCAGCGAGTCGCAGCTGGGTTTCTTCTTCTTCTTCTCCGCGTTCACCAGCTGTAAACTCTGGCGGCAGGTTCTGGTTGCTCCTCCACTACTGAACTGCAGTCCTGCTTCAGAACCTGAGTGTTGCGTGTGCATCAGTTTTACAGATCTCATTCTCTTGAATACAGACTGTTGGTTTCTTGCCTCTCCGGCAGATGCACTCCGACTTCAAAGGAAGCTCCCCAATTAGTCGACTCTTACGACATGCTTTTGGGGAGGCAGTGGGTCTATTCTTGTTTTCCCCACAATGGGGCCCCGGAACCCACATGGGGGGCAGCTGGGTTTGAAAGCGAGTCTCCTATTTACTGTGACCCCCCCCCCCCCCCCTTCCCAGTGAAAGTTGAGGAACCACTAAAGACATGGAACGAACGTTTACCACATCTGAATGAAAAAAAAATCAAAAGCCTGAGGAAAATGTTGAACATTTGAATTAGATGAATTCAAAAACAGGTGGAGAAATAAGGTGAACCGCTTGTTAGAACAGTTTTAAGTCAAAGAAGATGGTGCTGTACTGGACTCTCTTAGAGAAAACCAGCAGAGAATCACTAAACAGGCACCGGAATGGGAAATAGAGGAAGCAAGGACATCCAAAAGAAATCCTCAAAATAACCTTTATGAGAGAGGCCAAAGGTGCTGGAATGGATTCCATACATGCACAGGAAAGGATGGAATGGAAGAACAGACTGAGAGACATATAATGGCATCATCATCATCATGTAGTAAGTCCTTTGCAGAACGTCACTCTCATCACAGTCTGCCTGTAAGAAACTCTGTCTCTCGCCAGCTCTCCCGCCTCATGTACTTTCAGACTCAAGGAGTCACTTATATTCTGTGCCCATCTTCGTGTTGGTCAGTCCCTACCCCCCCTCCCCTGGCACCATGCCTTCTGCTATTATTTTTTTCTAATCCGTTGTGGCGCTTGACATGACCCAAATATTTCAGCTCTCGAGACGGAATGCTGTTTATCAGCCAATCTTCCTTGATGTTCAGATATAATGGCACAACAGGAAAATGATGATGATGGTGATGAAGGGTTTCATCCTGCCCTGGCTGGTGAACTTTGCTGTCAAAAGTGATCAGGACATGACAATACATGAAAGATGATGATGGTACATAAAATATAACAATTCACACACATACTAGGTACTCATATTCCTTGCCTCATGAGGTCCCAAGTAGTTTTTAATTTATCACGTTTTATAGGAAAGATTGTGTACTTTACACGGTTATGGTGGGTACCGGCACCTTTTTATTTTCTGGAATAAAAGAGCTTTTGTTAAAGCAGTAACATGTCGGGAGTGGAGGGAGGGGTGGGGTAATGTAACAAGAGTGGGACAAAAAGAAACTGAGTGGGCCAAAATAAATTAAGAAGGCCACAAGAGATTTAAAAAGCATGTAATGTGTAGAGTAAAAGAAAGGACGGTGAGTTGCCTGGTAGTGAAATAGTTAATAAGTAATACAACATACCTGGTCGGTCAATGAACACAAGGGTTCTGGTCTGTTCTCCTCTATATGGCTGTGGCTCAAACACGAACCCACCACCAACGAGAAGCTTGTCCTGGCTGTGTGAGCTCCAGGCCACCCAAGGATGACTCACATAGGTGTTCTGGTGGTGACTGTTCCCGGGGCCAAGCTCGTTGCGGTACCTGACCAGTTTTCCCCGGTAATCCACCCAGGCAATATCCACAGGGACATTTGTCCTGAAACAACAGTATAAGTTACACTTTACAGCAGGGTTGCCAAAGCTGGGACTTTCGTACAAATGTGTTACTATTCAACCCTTGCCGAACAAAACTGTACTTCTGGTACCATGCCTGATGTTTTGGCATGTTTTATCAATTCTGCCTCCAAATAAAAATTTGCAGCCTTGTGTGGATTCTTTAAAAAAAAAAAAAAAAAAAGTGACTGGGAGTGTCCAAGCAACACCTGATGTGTGAATAAATTTACCTCTTGATTCCCCTCCAAAGCATATTGTGCTCTCTTACTTTTACCATCTGGTCAGAACAAACTAGAGAAATCTGGCTTCCCGCCTTGGTCACAACAACTACATATACTGCCACTTCGAAAGTAAAGCATTTATAATTTGGCATCAGGATTATTTTGTCGCTTTGATATCTATTGTGAAAACTTTCTGGTACTATACAAAAATAACTCTTTCCATTCCAGGACTGACACCCAGTGACTCAAAGAACAACTTTTCTGAAGCAGAATCCAAAAGGAACAAGTCATAGAAGCCCTGTTAAACTGTTTAAACAAGTTTTTTGGGGGAAGCCGTCAGTTATCATTCCTGTGTGAGTGCGTTTTACTGCCTAACACCTGTATTTGTTTCTGCCTTCTTTCCCGGAAGGGAGCATGAGGCCTCAACCTCTACCAAATTGTCCTATCCTTTGCTATTGCAAGCAGCTCACCCCATGTAGTCCCCATCTTGCTAATCCCACTTTTGAATTCCTTTCTCTGTGTTTATTGTACAACAGAGATTATTTAATTGGGCCAAATAAGTAATTCTGTTTTTGTGTGTGTGTGCTTCAAATAGATTATCCATATCTGCAATGTTGTCTCTGTTATGAACTTCGCTGTCTTTTCTAATTCACTCAGTGACCCGTAAAGTTTGGCTTCTATGTGTGTCTCTTTTAGAAGTTTTGCCTTGATTTGCTGTACATGGAACAGTCTTGGAGGACGTGTCTGTTGTATAGGCTGCCAATCCACACATGCACATGGCTGATTCGCCAATCTTAAATTCCAAGTACATTTGGCTGCGAAGTCGATCGTAATATGACCAAAGTATTTTATCATTTAAAAAGAATGTTTGCCCATGTGCATTCCAGGATCCATTTTGGAGGAAAATGAATAGATCCGATGCCACCTAACTAGCATGTTGTAAAAGGCGACTAATTAGGGATGCTTCCTTCAAAGGAACCAACAGTCTGCATACAAATAAGCTAGGTGTGTAAAATGGATGTGCACTCAAAACTCATGTCCTGGAATAATGCTAAAATCCAGAAGTTGACAACCAACCAGAACTTTCCACTAGTGAATGTGAAGAAGAAAATAATGTTCTCCTGCAGTGAATTCAAAGAGGGTGCTAAAATGTTACATAGAACCTGTTCTGCTGTACGGCAGCAAATTATGGAATGTCAGTGTCAATTAGGAAGAATCTGGAAGCAACAGAGATGTGGTTTCTGAGACGTATGTTACAAATACCTTGGACGGCCAGAGTAACTAACAACGAGTGTTAGAAAGAAGCTAATGATAGTAGATCTCTATATACAACAATAAGAAGAAGACAAACACTGTTCTTTGGCCACATTATGAGAAGAGAGACATTGGAGAACATTGTGACAACTGGAAAGATCAGTGGAAAGAGGGGTAGAGGCAGACCAAGAGAAATGATGCTGGATGGGCTGAAACGATGGCATGGAGGGATATCATCAAGAGAGCTGTTCCAGGCAACCAGTGATCATGATCTGTGGAGACACATGAGCGCCTACACCAGTTGGCAGGGCACATGATGATGATGATGATGTAAATTTTAAAAATGTGAACACAAACAAAACAAAGCACAAATTGTCTGCATCAACAGATATTGAAGCATAAAACATGAATCCTCTTAAATGAAATACATAAATCATACTGTCTCTTGTTGCACTGTGGATAACTGTCAAGGAATGACAAGCCATTACACATCACCCCTAAAAGAGTCGGGACCTGTATTACCTGTGCTCGACAAAACTTTCAAACTTGGACTCGTCCGGAAAGGTATATAGTCCCTTATATCGATATATGCCTTTATCGGAGAAAATTATAATATCTACATCTTCTAGTTGCTTTGACTTAACGTCATTTTCAAATTTGCAACTATATGATAAATACTGCTGGAGTTAATTGTATATTCTTGGAAACCGGTTTACTCCTTGCTCATGTATACAAGGAACTTCTTCTTACCGACGCCTGACTTGAATTTTTGCGGATTGTTTCTGCCGGCTTTTCTGGAGATCAGTTGTATCCATCGACGCCTCAGAAAATTGCAATGTAAGAAGGCGGCCTGAAATGTCTAGGACTTTTCTTATGCTTGGGATGAAACCTATGTGAAGAGCTGACAGAAAAATCACAGTCCAACCAACACCCACCCACCATCAATCAACCAACTATCAACCAGCTAACACCAGTGAAGGTACCTGGCATCATCATCATGGGGTGCCATATACCTCAAACATCCTAACAGTGCCAGAGCATGTGAGTGAGCTCCAGAGCAGGTGAACATTTGTAGAGAGCATATCCATACTCGAGTAGACCAGTCTTCAGGAGCTTGGTGTAGCTCAGAGACAGTATTGTGACCTGACCGGTGGGAGAGACTAGCTGAGTACCTATACAGTTTCTGTGTCGTCTATAGTGAGGTACTCTTCCACTACCTGATCCATTTGAAGCAGAATTACCAGAGTCAAAGACAGTCGAATCATCAAGAGCTGAGGGAAGCATCAACGATAGAAAGAGGATAAGTGCCAGTTTGATTCCATGTCTTGCTATATTCCCCACAGCTCCAATTGATTCCGAGGATGAAGATGTGCTTCCTCCAGGACTTTCTGACTGTTTAGATTTCTGTTAAGTCTGGTCATTGTATTCTGGGATCCATCCACTGAGATCTGGCATCTATTTCACTATTATATATATATATGTATATGTTGTATTGATTACATGCATTCATTGTCATGGCTGACTTAGGTGTCTCTATTTCACCTTTCTAAGTGTTTAGCACTGTTGTGTGTATGAATCATAAATATTATATGTGTTAACATGGTTATGATAATAAACTATCATAACCTGGGGGCTTTCTTTTAAAAGTAGTGGGGGTGTCCAGCCAAGTGTGCCTAGGAATATTGTATTCATATACAGATATATTTTGTAGTGCCAAAACTTGAGTTGCCCTACTCCAGAAATAAGTTGAGCGTATATTGGCCATGGGGCATCCCTTAGACCAATACGAGCCAAACGACTCAACATAATTATTTCTGAGTGCTGTTGGTTCTTAAGGAGAAATCCTTAAATCAGGCACGTGACAGGAGTGATATGTGACAATAACCAAAGGAAGTCTAAGATTAGCCACATGCTTCCACAGATGTCTGACATTTACCAAGTTATCGATTTGTTTATACAACACAGGATTGCTTGTCTTAACTGTGTATAGAAAGTTTGACAAAGCACTATTTTTACTTGGCCTTGCAGGCACTGCATAACACTGTTCCTCTGGAATACTGACTGAAAAAAAAAAGTTATCTAAATTTAGGCACTGAAGTTTTGTTGGAGGCTCGGTTTCAGCAACCCACCTAAACCAATCCTCAAGATTGAACTACGGATTAACATCATGGCACATGGGTAGTAACCAATAAGTGCTCCATTCTGCTTCTAACTCAACTGCGAGTCCAAAGTAGCTCAGCACAGTTCATGGGCTCCGTAGCACCGGCGAGGATCCTGAAATACTTTGGGTAGATTCTTAACTCCAAATTTTGCCCGGGCAGTGCCGTTAGGCTACTCTTTTTAATTTCCAACTGCCAAGGGATTTTTTTACATGTGCAACAATACACACAGCCATTCGATCTCGCTACCCAGAGACCAGGGGAAATAACTAGAAGTCCACGTGAACAGAAAAAATCCCAGCCTTCACCGGGTCTTCTAGCACTCGAGGCAGACACCATACCTTGAGACCACGCAGCTCCTCAAAATCCAATCCTGAGGAGTTATTTACTACAAACTGAATAGGCGATTAATGAAATGGGCGGAAGCCGTGGCAGTTTAGACCAAAAATCCTGTGTTGTGTACACAAGTCTTAGATAAAAAAAACACAATCCCTTTTCAGCAATTATATGACATGAAGGGGTGCTGCGTGGTCTTCAGGCATGGCATCCGCCTCGAGTGCTGGAGATCCTAGGTTCAGGCCCTGGTGAAAGGTGGGATTTTTTCATGTGGGCTTCTAGTAATTTCCCCTGGTCTCTGGGTAGTAAGATCAGACACCCATGGTATTGTTGCGCACATAAAAAATCCCCTGGCAGCTTGAAATTGAAAAGAGTAGCCTAACAGGCAAAAATTTGGAGTTAAAAATCTACCCAAGGTATTTCAGGACCCTTGCTGGTGCTATAGAGTTCGTGCACTGTGCTGAGTATGTTCGGACTCAGACTTGAGTCCGAAGTAGAATGGAGCACTAATGAGTTACTACCCTTGTGTCATGATGTTGATCCCTCGCCTAAACCTATCTAAACCTATATGACATGAGCATCAACATATACAATTCACTAGTTGGGACTCAGTCTCCTCACGATCTTTTAACCAACCAACCTGCTCACCTGTTGACGAATGTCACATATGCAGGCCAGTCAGCGTGAACTGACTTGATCTGGGCAATTTGGTTACTTGGCATCCCTTTATCTTGTTCTCTTAGAGATACAATCTAGGGTCTTGTCACAGTCTTGACAACTCTGATAGTGGAATACAACTGGAAATGAAAAAAGTGAGAGACAAAATAAGTTATAAGTACCATTTTTTCCTTATGTAGAAGACAACCTTTATTTATTTAACCCCAAATTAAGAAAGAAATATTTTAAACATATTTTGTGTATTTCACACCCCCCCCCCCCCCTCCCCCCAGTTTTAAACTTACATAACATTTGGGAAAACATACTGTCTTATAAACACAAAAATATGGTAAACCTACAAGCTTTACAAAAGCAAGAATATATTCTAAGGAGTAATGCATATGTGTGTGTGCATGTGCGTGCGTGCATGCGCTTGTGTACGTGTAGAGGTGAGCCGCAGTTAGTATTATAAAACGATATCAAACCAGATGAAAACTAGTTAGCTTAATATTTTTAAAATTATGAATAACAAGTGAATATCCTGGCTAGAAATCCTTTATCAGCATATATGACTCAAATAAACGATACAATTATAAACAACGGAGTGGGAAGGAGAGGAGGGAGATCACTTATCTGTGAGTTGAGGTCTCTGCCAGAAATATCCTTGTGACATACAGAGAGTAGAAAATATGGGTCATGTGTGACGCAGGAAGAGGATACTCGAGAGGAAGAAGACTGCAGACAAGGGCCTTAAACCAAATGTCTTTGTAGATAAAGCCCTGTTGGACGTTGAGGCCCCAAGTGAGAGACAGCCCGTTAAACAGTTAAAATGGTCTTCAAGAGACATATGGCCTCTTTCACTTGAGTGGCAAGACCTGGCAGCTGTAACTTCCATGTCAAAGACATCTTGGTGACTCTACGCAGTCAGCAAGCTGGACTTTCAAACTGCAAACCCAGGTTTATTTCCCTGACATCATCATCATCATGTGCCCTGCCAATCAGTTTCTGTTTTTTCATGAGGTTTTTTTTTTTTTGGGGGGGGGGGGATATGTGGTTGTTTTCAGTTGCCTTCCACATCCTCATGGGGTATTTTAATCTGCACCTTTGACAGTAACTTCCAACTGTCAGGACGAGTGGGTGCCCTTCTCTGCCTAGCTGCGGAGTGATCCACTTATTCCGGTGGATACTCGGTCCCCATATCTGCATTAGCCCCACCAAGGTGTGTTTCCCACCCTCCACCACTTGGAGGTGCAGTTTGGGATTTTTCACTTTCATCAAATTTGAGACCAGCATGGCATTTCTCAAACTCTCTAGCTACTTTCTGAAGGGCTGAGAGAAAAATTAACATTTTCTGTCGGTGCCATTAATGAAAACTCTAGCCTGCTCACTTGATACTGACTGTTCTAGCCGAGGTGGCTCTAAATCCTCAGGCTTGACCTCTGGCTTGACCTCACTAGTTCTATACAGCCGTAAAAGCAGTAAATACAAGTTTCTAAAAAGTTAAGACGTGGAAAAGACTGGTGGCTCACCATGTAATATTCAAATAGTGGTGGATACACTGCAGCCAACCTCCTTTGTGAAGACACCATAATTAAACTCATTTGTCTCGGAAATGCTTAAATAAGGGGGCATTAACCTAAGTACTGGGACAGCTAGCTCATTTTTGCAGATAAACATTAAAAGGTAAAGTCGAGAAGATGGACTTCATTGCACTAGGTTTTATCCTATACAGCTCAGTCTATCTCCACAGAATGAAGAGCCACTGCCAAGAGCACCATGCAGAGCATGAACTGCGTAGCTACGGTGATGATCCCCAGAATCTCTGTGAAAGCTGCACTCGTGAACTGAAGGGCGTAGCCATGAAACGAACCCACGACCTTCAGAGCACAAAGCAAATGACCTCATTCCCACCCCATGTTATTAGTGCCAGACATGGTCACTTACAACAAACTAGACGAGAAAATTAGTAACCATGGAAATGAGATGTCTGAGTGAGCAGGAATGCCAAGAATAGATAAAATCAGAAATTAGGGCATAAGAGGAAAAAGTCAGCGCAAAACCAACTATAAACTGCACACAAACACAGTAAACCTTATTGGTTTTCCCACTTAAAGAGAGTATGTCCGGTGACGGCATACTGTGCAAGGCGTACAGTACACTAAAACAGGAGAGGAGAAGGACTTAGAGCACAAGGTAGACCAAGAACAAGGTGAAAAGATAAGAGAAACTCTAAAACACTGTGAACAGCATAATTCGTTTATGGTCAAAGCAGACAGCACAGCAAGAAGCAGAATGAATCTTATATGTCCCTTGACACCCGAAGCGGTAAAAGAGGAACAGAAGAAGAAGAAAAGAAAGAAGAAGTAATATAAGAGGAAGAAGAGAAAGAAGAAGAAGAAGGTAAAGGTAAATTTGGGAGATGTGAACCAGTGTCATTGCACACGCTTATAAACCATAAGTGCTCTGCCACCAGTACGGACATCTGATAAGAAACTGTTCGCCTGTGTACTGTGTCGCCGTCCCAGCGTAACTCCGTAGCTACAGCGACGTTCCTCCATTCACCCCAGAGTGCCAACTCTGGTACCCATTTCCTAGAGGCTGGGTGAACCCCGGGAACTGCCTCTGGATTTGAAAACGAGCCTCCTCCTTTCCTATCGACTGCGCTACACGTACGGCTACGCGGCTCCAAGAAGAAGAAGAAGAAGAGGAAGAAAGAAGAGAAGAAGACCTGTCACCAAAATCCTAAATAATTTTATTATCTCTGTATGTAATGGCACTGTGTGTTTAGCATCTCAACTAGATCATTATAGTTGTGTTGTAAAATATTTTTTTGGTTTAGTTTTACCTTAATATCAAAACTCAATGTAATTGTATTCTCTCCATCACTTTGGTTTCAGGTGTCTTCTCTTCTGCAGGGAGCTCTTGTGTTTTGGTTTACAACTTCCGTTCGAGCGGTGTCGACTGATATTTGTTTACTGCAATTTCTAGTCCAGTGAAATTGGTAATCGTCGGCTCCTTTTGCATGCCTTCAGTCGTACTGGGTATATAGGGTTAGACCTATATTTTATAGACTAATCGGCACTCGGCGGGTGATGTGATCAACACCATGTCGACTGCCATTACTTTCCAGCATTATAGACGGTACAAATTTAAGCGATGCTACCCTTATAAAACTAAATTGTACACTATTTAATTTCTACGTTTTGGTATGGTAGAGGGTGTTATACTAAAGACCCCATACTGTAAGTCTACTTGAATCCTACTGTAAGTAGGCTTCTAACTACAGTAAGTAAGCTTCTAACAACAGTAAGCAAGCTTCCAACAACAGTAAGGAAGCTTCTAATAACATTAAGCTCTGTAAAAATTATCTTTCACACAGGGTTTGCTAAGTTGAGTTGTTAGAACCGACATCATAGCACTGGGGACATTCCCATAAGCTTCCCGTCCCCATCTTCAGCAGCCAGCAAAGAGTTCCAGCACTGTCGGCACCAATAACAGTCTGACTGTAAGTGTCTTCTGATTTTCCTCTTAGTGTGGAGTGTTGGCCAGAACCTCACACAAGTTACACACTGGGTATATGAAACTATGGGGATATTTTTAATAGACCAATTGATCTTCCATTGAGTTATGAGGGGTTATCCCCACAGCACTCTGGACACCTCTGTAGGGGCTCAGACTCTCACTTCACCAAAAAGAATGTATAGCGTTCCGCTGGTTAACTGACTGACTGACTTTTTACCCCACCAGGACATCACACAAGCGATAAACATCTGGTAACACAAAGTGCCACCATGCGGATGAGGATCACCCGTGGAGAGGTCCCAGAAACCCCTTTCAGCGTTAGGCCATATCTATGTCCCGGCTATATTTAGGGCCCACGACAGAAGCCAGGAAATAACAAAAAATTGCACCCCACATAGGGACGACTCATTATGGAATACGCTGGTTAACAAAACTTCTTCTTCCCGTATTATTAGCAGTAATGTGGACACACTGCTCCCACAATCCTCGCAGCGTCCTTCTCTCTAACGGCTTTAACAACGTCAGCATGATCCATGGGATGGTCATTTTGAAATTAAAGCAGAACCAGTCAGTCTACAACTCCTTCGTTGACAACAACACATGTATGACCTGGGGCAAAGGTAAAATTAACTGCATGCATAGGGGAGTTTCTCATTGACTCAGTCCACGCCAAATGGTGATGCTGTCAGCATTACGCCGGTTGTCTTTTATTTCCAAGAAGATTTCCTGGTACTATTTTAAGACTGGGTCGACCTGCAGCTCACGGCCAATTTATATAAAAGAGTGGCAGTTGTAACAACAGGCCGGGGGGGGGGGGGGGGGGGGTGGGTGGGTGGTGAAAAACGTGACCTCCCCCCCCCCCCTTTTTTTTTCTTTTTTTCCGTCCTTAAAAAAAAAACAAAGGGACATTATTAACATTTAACATTTGCTGTCGTTCGAGATATTATTAATAGTCTCCCTTAGCACAAGCCAACCTCTGGGGGAAAAAAAATCCGAGTTTTAGATATTGAAAAGGTATCTCAGCTGGTAAGAAAAACACCAGAAAAGACAACTAGAAGACAGTACTCTAGAAAATAGGGAGGAGAAACTAAGACAGGACATTTACAAATATACAGAGTTGAAGAAACATGCATAAACTAAGAATACTGTGATCTGAAAGACTCATGGTCACCTCAGTTATTTAATTCTGGTTTATGCAAATATGTATGTTAACATTCTTTACGTCCTTCTTAGGACGTTATTTTTTGTTTTTTGAAGCCCCACTCTGGCTTTTGCCAGGGGCCGCAATATAGGCAGGTCATACATATGGCCAAATGTCTGAACGCGGTTTCTGGGACCTCTCCACGGTGATCCTCATCCGCATGGTGGCACTTTGTGTCATCGGGTGTTTATCGCTTGTGTGATGTCCTGGTGGGGTAAAAAAGCCAATCCAATATGTTTACTATTGAATACTCCCACTCTAGGACGTAATTTTTTGTTATTTGCCCCAGCCAGAGGCCGCAATATAGGCAGGCCATAACTATGGCCAGTTGTCTGAACGCGG